GTTAACACCACATATACACGGTGCCAAATCCCAGAAGACTGCTTTCTTCATAGTCACCGCCGTGAAAACCTCAAATCTTACATATCTCTGTGTGTTCCTACACGCATTTATGCGCTCTATTCCACTCCCCACATCTCACTCCAGTCCATTTCGGGTGATGGTCACCTTGCTCCTTTACATCGAGGCTTGCGGGCCAGATTATCACAGCGGAGAAATTATGCGCATGTGCAAAGGGTGAACTGTTTGTGGTATAAACATATGGATGTCCTTTATTGCATACATTCTCGAAGTTGGGATGCTCAATCATTGCCCAAGAATCAAAGGCAATCGTCTCCAGGCACTATCCCGACATTATCCAATTAATCTCCCTAACGTTCTAGCGTCTTTAACTTAAACCTATTACATCATGTCTAGAAACACTTTTGATGAACACCAATATTAATTCTCGCTTATTCCTGTCGCTCCCACTTTAGAGAATAGGGCATCTGTGAAACGCTTTGTTTCACTTCATTTTCTCAATATTAAGACAGTCGGAAGGACTCCTTGGACAAGGGATAAGCCTGTCGCAATGCCGCTACCTACATAGGATAACACAAGCACAGAATAAACACAGACATCTATGTCTTGAGTGGGACTCGAACCCACGATCCCAGTGTTCGAGCCAGCGAAGACAGTTCATGCTTTAGACAGCGTGGCCACCGCGATCAATGAATACCAATATTACAGTAAATTAATTATATATTAATGCAAACTCATTTATTGTCATGTTTAATGTTTCATTGCGTATACATGCACTACGCTGTTATAATACTATTCTCATTGTAAATAATCAAAAATGCAATCACAATCACACTTAAAACTGAAAAAAAGGCATCTGCTCAGAGAAATAACCTAGTACACAGAGTACGCAGTTCAGTCTGCGCGGAAACGTCCTTCTATATACATGGTTTAAATTTATGCGGAGCTTTCAAAAGAGGCGACTCCAGCGTAAACCGTGGTACCAGGAAGCGACAACAAGGTTGTACAAAATGTTGAGTGTGTGGTTATATCTCTTTACTGGATTGTATAAACTCATTTTCGCTTCAGACACGTACAAGTATGTTTCCATTCGGTAATAGCTCCTTATCTTCCAATATAGAAGGGGTAAAGCTATTCCTTTAACAAGCCGTGGTCTCCCATAGGGTTGTGAGACTTCGAGGCTCCCACATTTTGCCTGGATAATCGGCTCACAGATGGCGGTAAGGTTGTCAAGCTTACGCTCCGGCAGCCCTTTCTCCCCAGGAATATTCCTGGTACTCATTTCTGTTAGAAGCTGAGTCGACCCCAAGGCCACAGTGCAGCTGGAATGATTAGGTCAATTGAAAAAATCAAATGCCCTCGTCGGAATTCGATCCCGCGACCTTCCGGCTTGTAGCATAGTGTCTCAAACAAGTGCGTTACCGCGTGCCCAACTTCCACATAAGATGTCAATATATATGCAACTATTGGCTTCAGCACCTGCACATTTGAAGGAGAGAAGCGGTATAGACTACAACGAAAGGCGCGTCCACACTACTCGTGCTCGTGCTCGTGCTCGTGCTCGCCAGGCTTGTGCTCGTCGGGAGACTCGTCTGGCTTTTACTTGTGCTCGTAAATCTTCGTCCACACTACTTCCGTTGCTCGCCAGGCTTCGGCGCGTGAGGATCCGTATATTTACTCGTAGTGTGTATAGGCTGTAGTCATATTTTAATTTATTGGTTATAGTTTTTAAATTAAAAATTTGCTTGTCTCGTGACTTGTCATATCGTCCACAGCGAGTCACACGAGCACGAGAATGAGCACGAGGAATGTCGACGCGCCTTAAGGATGACGATATAAAGCACTGTGGTGTGCACTGAGAGGAGTCCCAGGGACCTGTCGTGAGAGCTGCGGTATGGATGGCTTTGCTGCTGGTAGACACAGAGCTACTGCTTTCAGCGAATTCCAGTCACACCTCATCTTGTTCGGAAAGAAGCGGCTGCTACAATCCCAAACGTTCTGCGGATACAGAACTCCAGTCGTCCAATTATAAGTGGGGCGACTTAATTAGTTAGTGTAACATCCAGGCAGAATAAAGAACCAGATAAACAAATAACTCCATGGAGTTAAGCCTTTCCTGAAAAGACGCCAGTTCTGCAGCTACTCGATAATTTCACAATATTTTATGGGACCCGAAGGTTCATTACTCCGTTCACAACACTCATCCACTGATCCCTATCCTGAGCCAGATCAATCCTGTCCATACCACCCCATCTTATAACATCCATTTTTAATATTATCCATCCACCTATGTCTTTGTCTTCCTAGTGGTCTCTTTCCTTCTTTCTTTCGGATTCAAAGTAATTTTAAACTTGTTACAGGTGACATTCTTAAGAAATTTGAAAAAAGCACTATTTCCTAACAAATCCTGGTGACAATTTGTTCCATAAATGACGGGCCGGGGGAGGGGCATTTATTCTCCTTTCTCAGCATCCACTTCAAATAATCAAAGATAATACAAATGTGTTTAAAACTGGTATAAATTATATTCTGCATACAATTGCCATCCTGGTCTACAAAACCGAAATTAACGGTCGTGTGGATTCGTTGCGGTGACCACGCGACCCCCTCTATCCGCTAAAGTTGGCACTAACTTCGCCGACAAGCGGCACTAGCTCTGTCGGTACAGTTCGTTTATGGACTAAAACCACGGATATTTTCATTCTAGATTATACAACTGTCATCAGGGAAGCGAGTATCAGAGTGACTTATCGTTACACAAATGTTTAAATTTACAATCCAGAGCATATTAAATTATTTCAAGCTGGACATCATTTTCAAGTTTTCCAGCACCTACGCAAGAAGAAAAAAGTCTATCCATAACACACGCTTTCATGCCTCAAACAAAGGTCTCTCTGTGTGTACATCGGACTGTCTTTAAGTGGGATGAATATGAAGGCAGCTGACTCGAGGATTCTGAAAGCATTATGAACGCGACTGTATGTCTGGCACATGACACTTCCTGAGAGCATGTCAGGAGTCATCAGACATGCAGTTTACAAGTGACACTTCTATACTTTGTGTTCCACTTCCATCCTTCTGCTGGGAGCACTGAAGTAAGCAATTCTGCGACTTGGACTTCCTTCTTCAGTGTCTCTAAAATGGAAATAGATGATAAAAGGAAATAGACCTTAAGAAACTGCCCTGTATAAATAGGAAACTTTCTAAATAATTATGCATCATTAATCAAAGAATGTCGCAGGAGACTAACACGAAAACAACTGCGTCAAATGAGCATGATTCCGGGAAATCCAAGTGTCAGCGCTACAGCCCCGTGAAGCCCGAGAATCATTAGAGGGGAGCGGACACATTATTTTCATGTCAGGTTTTACATTGGCTAAAGCATGCGTAGGCGAGTAACTGAATGTAGAGTAAAAAAAAAAGCATACTGACACAAGGCGTGTCTCCTCGACAGATGCTCGATGTTGCTGCATTTTCAACGTCTTAACTGATAATCTCTGACTTTTACTTCCGTAACCTAAATAGAACTTTCAGACGAAAGTGCCTGAAGGAAAAATGTATATATCTAGTTCAGATAAGATGACAATGACGAAGATGGCACAATCAGATCAACGCTAGATAGCATCGTGAGGTGCGTTAGTGATCTTCATTTGCTAACCATTCTATTATGGTCTCATGCTGAGCGAATATCAAGGGGCACACTTTAGCGTAGTTGGTTGAGGAACTATACTAAAAGGCGGATGGTCGTGGGTTCAAGTCCCGTTGAGGTCGTTGGATGTTTTCAATTGACCTAATCCTTCCAGCCGCACTATGGCAATGGGGTCGACTCAGCCTCTAACAGAAATGAGCACCAGGAATATTCTTAGGGGTAAAGGGCGGCCGGCGCGTAGGACTGACAACTTTGCCGCCATCTATGAGCCGATTGCCTAGAAAATGTGGGAACCTCAATATCTCACAACCCTATGGGCCTCAACGGCCGGTTACAGGGATACCTTCACTTTTTACTTACTTTTTTTTACTGAACGAGTATCCGTGTTAAATGCTGACTATACATTTTTCGACTCAATTTCACTAGGAAGTGTTTCTCAGACGGTGTATATTGGTTCACTTAAACTCTGTTTATGCATTCAGTTTTATTCTTTGAGATATGAAAACAACTTCGAAAATATCGCACGTGTGTGTCTGAGAGCGCTCATATACAAATTACAAGAATAAACCGCTACAATATTTATAAACCAAATTGTAAATTTATGAACCAATTCGTAGTTCTTCACATGTGAAAATTTTACCCCGAGAACCCAATAACAACAGTAATAAAATATGTCAATATCAAGTCTAATATACAGAGAGAAATTTTCTTTCACTGTTCTCCGCTTGTTGAGTCGGAAATAAAAATAATAACGCGAGAGGAAATTCAGTTTATGAAACAAGCACTTAAGATAAATCGATGGGATTCACGTGACATTGGAGCAATACCCATATTGCGTGCAACAACGGTTTAGGACACTTACCTGACAGAAAAGCAAAAGGACATGAAACAGATGTAAAGCAGTTGACAACCTAACTGATAACAACGGGCGGACCGAAAGCTGTGATCCCACTCAGTACGTTAAGCGCTTCTGACACATCCACACTGACAGTGGCCAACTTTCTTTAGACGTCATTAGAGTGGATAAAGAATTAAGCTATCCCCAGTCAGTTTGATGTAGCACTCACATTGAATAGTAACATATGTTGTGGGTCATACAAACTTCTGCGTAATGATACGCGAACAAGGGTATTGTCAGGTGTATGTTGGTAAATAATCGGTTCCGGATTTGATATCTCG